ACAATACATGTCTTTGCATGTCCAGATGTCACCATTACGATGGACTTTGAGTTTCTAGGATTCCAAATTCCAAAACTTTCAGATTGCGAGGGCCCATGTCTTTGTGAGTTGAACTTTTAAATCTCCAAATTCCAAACCCACATAGCAAAGTCTCACATTTGTGAGGGTCCATGTCTTCACGACCCGAACTGCCACATTTCCATATTCCAAATTCAAGAGTTCCAGGATCTGACCTGCCATCTTTCCGATTGCCAAATTTGCTAGGACCCGTGGCTCTGATGCTATGTCCTTTTGCTGTACATGACCTCACATATTTGGAAACTTGGGATTGGGACTCTGGAAATTTGGAAGTTCAGCCCGTGTGGACGTGGACCCTCGAGATTTAGAAATTTGGGGCTTTCAGGAATTTCCGACATTATACGACAAAGCTGGTATATATACATATATATGTGCATTTTCATACACACGTACTGTTTTTTGTTGTTTTGTTTGTTTTGGTTTTTGTATTTCTCTACTCTGTATATATTGTCTACAATCTGTGGACCCCGAAGACTTGTAAGCCTCATGCCTGATGAGGTTCGTGGCGTTCGGCTGCAAGGGCTTTTACTGCGGGCACGAGACACACGTCTGTCAAGATGGTCGGGTTGAGGCTTCAGGGTTTAGGACACAGTTTTGGGTTTTGGGGGCTTACTGGATTTCTGCTATTGCTGTAGGTTTTTCAGCGGTCACTGGCATCAACATGTTGACAATCGAGCTGAATCAAGTTGATGATGAGAAGATGGGAGGCCTAACCACCCCAACTCCTGTCACAGACTACATGACTGCATGGGTATGATGATAAGACACTCAGCACTACAACTGTCATGACACTTTATAAATCCTAACCTCATTTCTGAGTCTCCATCGCAACAAAGCAAAAAATCCTAGCTCGGTTAGTCGAATCACCAAGGACCCATACAGTGTATGTTGAGTTAGCTCTGTAGAACCTGCACGCCTCTGAAAAGCTAGCTCTTTGTCGGTTCCTCTTTCTTTCTATATTTATTTCTCTCTCTCTCTCTCTTGCTCTGTTTAGTTTGTTTTTTTGTGTTCTCTCCTTCTCTCTCTCTCTCTCCGTCTGTCCCTCTGCGACCTAATTCCAGAATATCAGCACAGGAAGTGGTGGAACATTTTTGACCTGGTGATCGTCGGCGCTTCGCTTATCGAAATGCTGACGGACTGGATCAGCAAGGGCTTGGCCCCTCCGAATGAATTGCGAGCTCTTGAGGTAGAGCCTGATGAGCTTCGGTTGTTGGGTTCAGGGTTTAGGGTTTAGGGTTTAGGGCTTCAGGTGAGGATTCCTGTCGTTGTTCAAAGGCATTTGTTCGAGGTTCGTGCGCATTCATGTTCATGCCTATATGCTTCCGCTCTATACGTATGTATATATGTACATGCGTGGATGCATACATGCATACATGCGCACATGCATGCATATGTTGCTGGCTCATCATAGCGCCCCAATCCCCAAGCTCGTAGACGTCTTGTGCTGGAGGCTTCTGGCGGAGACCAAATGATGCTTGGCCTTACTGAGCACATGGAGACCCCAGGGTAGAGGGTGGTACGGGCGTGGGGTTTGGGGGCTACGGGCTTCCTGCATCTGGGCTTCAGGGCTGAAAGTGTTTTAGGAGAGTAGGAGTGTGCAGGACGTGTTGCAGTCAGTGAGAGGTGTTGGCGAGTTCCGGGGCTGTAGGTTGTTCGAGACATTGTGAACTCAGATCTGCAAGCTGCTGTGCGGCGGTGCTAGGCGTCATGGTGCTTGCACAACTTTCACAAGCACAAATACCGCAGAAGCAACTAAGCCCTAACGCCCCACACCTGATTCCTTCTCCTTGCCTTTGAGGAACTCCAGTCACCTACGGATTATGCGGTTTACACGTGTTGCCCGTGCTCTCCGGGGCGTCCGCGTGTTTCGCCTCCTGCGCTCTTTGGCCTGTTGGGTGCCCGGGGGGGGGGGTGGAAAGGCATGCTTTTTGGGATGTCAGAGGCGTTTCAGTTTTTTGGGGCTTACAGGTACAGGTATCACTACGGGATAGAGTCGGGCAGACGCTGCAGGATTTTCAAAGAGTGACTGACATAATAGGCTCATGGCAGGCTTCCACTAGAGAGCATATGAACTACTTAGCGGAGTGACCTAGTGGTTCTTTAATCGTGTTTTTGTTCAACGACGCTTTCTTGGGAGGGCTTGCTGGCCTTACCACCCACTGGAATCCCCCCAAAAAAAAGTGCATTTCGCGGCCGCTAAATCCGATGCCCGAACACCTGAAACCCTAGCCACCTTCCGGATTTGGGGTGCAGCGTTTGGGGTTCCGGGATTGAGGGTCCCTAAACCCTAAACCCTAAACCGTAAAGCCCTAAAACCGGGTTTATAAGGTTTAGAGTTTTACGAAACCCCATATGGCTCCCGTAAGCTACATCCAAAGGCTTCATCAGCGCCCTGCGCGCCATCATCTTCTCCATCAGCAGCACCATGCGCCTCAGCTCCCAGGAGTACAGCTGCGGCTTTGCGGGCTTGAGGGTTCGAAGGTTTCAGGGGCTTCATGATTTTTGGGAGTTAAGGGCTTCTGGTGCTTAGGGTTCTAGTGGTTTAGGGTTGTTTCGGATTTTCGGGGTTGCGGGTTTGGGGCGGACTGGTTTAGGGTTCGAGGTTTCCGGTTGGGGGCCTTTTCAGGGTGTGGCGTCTCGCTTTCTCTCCCCCCCCGGGTCGTTGGGCCGTGGCGTCTTGTCTAGAAGCTGGCGAGCCCATCATCGAGGTTGTCTAGGGAGAATTAAGACTCATAAAGGCTATCTCAGGGAGGAACCTAGGGTGGGGGGGGAGGTAGTATAGAGGGGGGGGGTAGTAGGAACCCAGGAAGTAGACAACACACATCCATGAGGTGGTCTTTAGTGTGGACCCTCGTGCTTCTTGTGATCCTCTTCTACTGCTTCGGTGTGATCTTGGCACAGCCGCTGGTCAAGGAAGTGAGTGGGCTTTCCCTAAGGGTCCATGTACCTATATGGAGAGTACTTGGGCCTTAAAGTACTTCCGTTATAAGGACTGTGGGGCTCAAATTTCATAATGAGGTACACGGACCCAGGTACATGGACCCTTAGGGTTTGTTCAGGGCCCAGAAAACAAAGAAACGCTTAGCCCTCAAAGCCCTTAGTTAACCTACAACTCCCAGACCCTGAAACTTTAGAAAGCAGAAGCCTTTGAAGCCCTAAAGCCTTGAAGCCTTAAACTTTCGAGCCCTCAAAGGGGGTCCTGAAGGTTTCGAAGCCCTGAAGCCCTGAACCCCGAAACCCTAAAGTCTAGACCCTGAAACCCTAAAGCTTTTGAAGCCTTGAACCCTAAACCCCCTACAAGCCTGGAAGCCCAGAAGCTTCTCCAATATGAGGGGCACAGTGGGCTTAGGATGTTGGGTTTCGGTGTTTGCACCACTTTGGGGCTGGGGAAGCCTGGTGCGCGGTTTAGGAATTCCAGGGTTCAAGGTGTGTTCTACCTCCCTTTCAGGGCTCCTAGGGCCTAGGGCTCAGGGTTTTGGGGGGCACCGTGTCCCCACTACCTCTGCAGCAACTCCTGCCACAGAAGAAAACTTCAGCCTCTATGATTTGGACTCCGGGCGGGGAGGTCACCCTCTAAAGGGGGTTGGGGGGGGGGGGGGGGGGGGGGCGGGGAGCGGGGTGAATCCTTGAGGAGGCGGATACAGTTGCAATCTCAAGTTCCTAGGCAGTAAACCCTAAACCCAACGGTCTTAACTCTGAAGGTCTCCAGATACTTCGGATGTAGCCGCACGAAACATGCCCAAATCTAGTGTTGCAGGCCTAACACCTGGAGGGCTGGAGTGTCGAAGGTTTTAGGGATGAGGTGATGATTGGGAATGGGCCCGCCCCCCTGGGGGCACGTTGTGTTTAGGGTTACGGCGTTTAGGGGCTTAGGTTTTCATGGCGTAGGGGCTTAGGTTTAGGGTTTTTGTTGGGGCGTTCAGGGCTCTTCCCATCACATGCTGGAATCTTTGCTAGTGAGGCTGGTCTCAGACTTCTGCCGATGCTCGGCGCGCAAGATTCGCCTTGCCACGCCCTAAACCCTAAACCCTGAACCTCCAGACGAGGCGAACCCTACAAACCGCAAAACCCTAAAACACTAAGCCCGGGTTTAGGGTTGGCTTTGGATTCGAGATGGAGTCTTCCAGGATCTCGGGCTTGAGAGGCGCGAGCTTCAGTTTGATTCGGGTTTTAGGGCTTGGGGGGCCTTGGGGGGCTTTGGGGGGCTTAGGTTTGTGGCTGCCGCTCTCAGTCACAGGGGTGGAATCTGGGGGCTGCTTCAAGGAGGGGAGCTGACGCGGGAACCTGACACCAGATGTTCCCCCTTATACTAACAGTCCTTAACAGGGATTAGAGTACCCCCCCCCCTATTATTGTCCTTACGAAGGGGCTCTAAGGCAACATAGCAAAGTTGCAGCACATAGGAAAAAGCTGTACACATTTAGGGAACATAGAAGTGACTTAGAAGATGATGCAAGAAGTTAGTATCTTTTTGTATCTTCCGCTATCTTTTTTTATCTTTTTTTGTCTGTTTTTCAGAGGCGTCTTTCAATATGTCAAAGTGAAGGACAGGCAGCATCCCAAACTGGAACAACATCATGTCAGGAGGTATCAGCGCGGGAAAGCTGTCCTTTGACAAGTTTCCGATATATGGTGTGGAAGGACAAGTTGCCAAAGCGACGGCAGCCGCCAACCTCCGGACATGTCATCGTTGTAGCGATTGCAACCGCCCTATAGGTTGGTTTGTGTAGAGTGTGGAAGGACAAGTTGCCAAAGCGACGGCAGCCGCCATTTCCCGGACATGTCATCGTAGTAGCGATTGCAACCGCCCTAGGTTTGTCTAGTCTCATTGCAAGGACATCAGAGAAGCAGAGAGCATGCGCTTAAGAAGGTATATAGCGGCAGCAGCCGCCGTGCGCAGCGGACGGCAGGAAAGCTCTTTCTCACCACATCGTCAGCAACGACCCGGCGTCGTTCAGCTTCCAGTACGCACTGGCCCACCACATTTGAGGGCCATCCGAGACGCAGACCGTTTCTTTGTCTGACGTCTGCATCCACTGCAGTATCGCAGCGCTGATGACTGTCTGTATTCGAAAGCATCGAATCTCCAAGCAGAAGGTGTCGGACCCCTTGTATATGTCCGATATAACACCACAGCGATAATTTGCTTGCAAGCAAAACACCAGTGGCTGCCCCACACGAAGCAACTGCCAAGGCGAGCGAAGCACGGGCGACCTGCGACCACCCTGCTGGCGGTGCTCCAGACGGTAGGTGTGCCAGTCTGGCGGAAGCTGTCGCTGCTCCTCCACATCGCAGAAGAACATTCGGGACAACAGCATGGCCTCGAAGGACTCGCAGCTTCCATTCATGTCGATCTCGACGATCCTCTTGGCCTCTTGGTGTTTGCGTTCGCAACACATTGTGTCTACCACAGCACGACTTCGCTCGAACTGTCCTGCGCAGAAGACTGGGCCACACAGTATAGGGGTGTGAAATGTGTTACCAGGGTGCTGTAGGCCATGTACAATTAGGGATTTCCTCCAGGGAGTGCTAGAGATTCAGGTATAGGGTAAGGCTGAACTGTGCGCATTGTCCTTTTTGATGAAGGGCGTAATGGTGCTTCGGCTTGCAAGCACTGTGGCCATAGGTGGCCAAGAACTTGTCGTGGTGCTGGGCTTGCAAGCGCATCAGGTCTTGGAGGAGCCACTCCTGCTGGCAGAACTGAAGTTGTACCAGGACAGCGACTCGTCTGCAGAGCAGCTCAAAGCAAGCAAACTCTTGGGCAAGAGCTTCTTTGACCGGCCCCGTGTAGGTGCAGCACCAGAAGTGAAGCAGGGGGAGCAACGCCCTCTGTGTGGACCCTTGGGCTTTCCAATTTTGGGCGGCGAAGAAAGGAAGTGGAGAGGTTCCGGAGCAAGCCGTGTAGACTGGAGCCTTCATGCCGGCTCAGGATCTGCGCGTTCTGCAGCATGCCGCGCAAGTCAGTGCGGCGCAGCCCCCGGCTCTCCAGGCGGCCTGTGAACAGGGCGACCTCTTCGGAAACGATGCCGCCGCAGAAAAAGTTGTGTAGCACATCGTATATGCAGTTCCTGGGTGGCAAGTGTGCTCTCAAAGCAGGGCTGGCCAGGACACCATGAGGCTCCCACCTGAACCCGAGATTCTTCTCCAACTCAGCGAAGGCCGCGGCGGACAGAAGAGGCTGCTGGCGGCGCAGCTCGTCTACAGCATGCCAGACTTGAGCATTGCTGGTTTGCTCGAAGACACGTATGTCGCCATCCATGAGCGTGCGCCATCTGTCGCCTTCCGCGTGCGGCGCACGGTCCAGAGCGCTGTGGTTCAGCAAGTTCATGCAAAGATGACACGGTTTCCTGCCGCTTGCTGACTTCGTGCCAAGCGTGGACGCAATGGCAGCCTCGTCTGCAATCAGGCCATGCAGGCGTAGCTGAAACAGACGCGAGTCCGTGGGGCTGAGCCGCAGCACGACGCCCTGAAAGTCACGCTGCCAGGACTCCAGAAGGATACGCGTGCAAGCACTGAGGCCACCAGCAACCTGGCCGATCACTTTGGTTCGCAGAGCTGCCACCATGTACCAGGCGTGGCAGTGCTGGACGTGGAGCCTGGTCGTGCGCAAGGCCACGTAGAAGCAGTAATGCTTGCGAGCAACATCCGGCTGCAACGGGTTGCCAGGGACGATCTCGTCGGTGTAAAATAATACTGGAGTCGGGCCGCCGGCAGGTGGCAGAGTCTTGGAGAGCATGGCTTGCTGACTAGTGCAGCTGTCGCTCATGAGCTGCAGCACCTTGGAAGGAGACAGAGTCGACCACTTGAACGTCTTGCCAGTCGCTAAAGGCAAAGCAAGCTCAACAGCATTCTGTTTCAGCCAGGAGCGTCTCTCCCTCAAGGATTTGTTGCTGAGCTCTTTGCGACTGCGCACGTACTCTTCGGGGTCGCCTACACCATCCAGCGCGTCCAGTAGATGAGCACAGGCACCGGGCTTGACGCCGCGTCTGCGACAAACTCGGACAGCTACGTCAACATCACCAGGGCGCTTGCGCGCACTCTTTTTTCTGTGACCAGCCAAGTCCGAGTCTGCGGCTGCAAACGCCATGGCAGGGAAACATCTCTGCCGGTCCTGGAGAGCGACATGCGATGGACGACGGTCATGGCACAGCTTGATGCGTGAGACTTGCTGGCAAGAAAACGAATCCGGCTCGTTTCTTGTTCTGTCATGGAACACTTTTGTGTCTAGGGATTCAGAAGGGTGTACAAATAGGGTTTTGGGCTTCCGCTCCCATATAGGCTCTTACATAACACACTGCGTGCATGTGTAGTTTCCAGAAGTCCTCGCTGCAGGCGGTATCGCGTGCGTGCATGAAGCAAAGCAAGGCTGGGTTCTCCTGGCATACTTCTCATCCCTAGCGGCCGCGGCCGCCTGCAGCAAGCTCTGAAGCGATGCAGCATGCGGCAGCAGCCACCGGGAAGCTGTCAGGCATGCGACACAACCGGGATGGTTTAGCTTGGTGGACGAGCAGGGACGCGTTAGGAAACGCGTCTATACTGGCAGACCGCAGCAGGTATATACAGACGAATTAGACCCACGCAGGACGTCCTCATGCTCCGTTGCGACGTCGTCGCTTAGGGACGGTCGGCGGCAACGGGAGCACGGCGCCACTGCTGCTGGATGCCCGTTTCATTGTCTTGTCCCGTTGTGAGACCTGCGCAGCAGCCGCGCATTGAACGTCCTCCTTCACTCCTGCCGCGTCTGTCCGGGCGGAAGCGTCAGCACCTTCTGCGCCTGCTTCCTCTGGCGAGCGGCTCCTGGAAGGCGACTCCTCCGGCAGCTGCAGTGCATTGTCCAGGTCCAAGGCCTTCGGAGCTGGCTGCTGCGTGCAGTGCACATGACGGCTGCGCAAGACGCTAAGCGGGGAGTCGTCTGGCCGAGGCTGACCTGGGCTGCTGCATGGGTGTCATGTCAAGAGCAAGAGGAACCTGAATCGTGAAGTCAAGAAGCTGGGTGGAATGTACACGGACTGCTGCGCAAAGACGGCAAGCAAGTCGGAAACGATCATGACCTGCAGCGAGTCTGCTACGCATGTACTATGTCGATGTACAAACACGGAAGTCCAGTGTACAGAGGCAGCAGCCTCCCGAGCAGCAGCGCCATGACCTAGGTACACTCTGGTCGCGCGGGCGTCGTTGATGTCAGTCTTGACGCCGCGAGGAAGCTTCATGGCAGAGTGGGGAGGCGTCACGTGACTACAGCAGCCCAAACGACTCCAGAATGCATGGCCGTGTGAATGCTGCATCGGCGCAGGTCACAGCAGAGCGGCAGCAGCCGCCAGCACTGCACGGCTGCAGGCCAGCACGCAGAGCGGCAGCAGCCGCCGGAAACTCATCAGGTGTGCAGAGCGGCAGCAGCCGCCTGACATGCATGATCTCGAAAGCGAGCATATGCAGAGCGGCAGCAGCCGCCCGAGCAAACCTTGCAAGGCAACCGCGAGCATGCACAGCGGCAGCAGCCGCCCTAACCACGCGGAGCGGCCGCAGCCGCCAGACCATGGAAGGGGGGCTTCTGGTCGTCTGCTTCGTGTTCCCGTCTTGCAGAGTATAGACGCGCAGGCACTATCACGATGGGGTGTGACTCTCACGCGCGCCCTGCCGCAGGACGAATTAAAGCCTGTAGGCTCAAAGATGAGAAGAGGAGCAGAAAGCTCAGGCGTCAGCTTTCTCAAGCGCCGCCTCCGGGATCTCGAGAGCCGGCAGCTCTGCCTCGTCTGCCACGCGCGGGCGCTTCGTGCCCCTAGCCTTGGCCTTCCGCAGCGCTGGAGTCCCGCAACTGCTGCTGCAGGTCCGCGAGCTCCTCCCGGCACTTAAGGTCCGTGAAGCTGAGGGCGGGCAGCTGGGCCTTGTTGTCCTTCGCGTACTTGACGGCCAGCTTCTCGGCCTCAATGCGCCAGGCCTGCAAACGGGACAGGCCCTCAGAGAGACACTGCGCCAGCACGTCCCTGGCGGGGTCCGCCTTGACAGTCGCCACCTTCTTCGTCACGTTTGGCAAGGCTGCGTTGAGGCGCCTCAGAACCTTTGCAGCTACAGCGGCGTCCTGCTTGTTCTGCTTCACCCGCGCAGCTTCCGCCTCTCGCTTCTGCTTCCTCTCCTGCTTCCTCTGCTCTTTGGTCTGGCGCTTCCCGTCAGCCGCGTCCGCGTCCGGCTGCTCTTCTTCCGACAAGTCAGCCAAAGCTTCAAGCTCGGCCTGGACCTCTGCCGCACCGGTCGCGTCCGCTTGCAAGGCCTCGGCCGTCAAGGCCTTGGCTCGTCGGGGCTTGTGCTTCACCTGCATGATCTCCTCTGTACACTTGGCCAGGATCTTTGCGTTACTGACGGAGTGCAAGTTGACGCGGAAAGTGGTTCCCAAGACCTGCGTGCAGAGAATAGACTCGCACAAAATGAACTAGAGATTCCCATGTCAGCGTGCAGCGGCTGCAGCCGCCCAGCAACATGGGTGTATATATAGGGTAAATAGGGTTTCGTCAGGGTTCAGGGTTTATAGGGTTCAGGGTGTAGGGTTTAAAAGAGGGTTTGGGGATTGGGGTTTAGACTGCAGGTTTAGAGTTAAGGGGTCAAGGTTTAGAAGATTTAGGGCAGTCCAGAAAAGCTGTTGAAGCCAGGGGCCGGGTGTTCCTCTCTGTCCTCCTCCCCTGCCAGGCGCTCGATTCGCTCGGTGTCGAAGCCCTGAGTAGCCCAGGCAGTGAGCGGGAGGAAGCTTCCCTGCCACTGGTCGCGAAACTCGGCCTCGTACTTGCTGCGAAGGACCTTGGTCAGGCACTCCTTGACCTTGGAAAGCGCAATGCGTCCCTTGTCGTCCTTGAGGGAGCCGGAGTTCTTGAAGAAGTCGAGTTTCTGCTCGTGGCTCAGCTGCTGCAAAGACTGAGGCAAAGAGAGTCGCTGCAAGTAACAGGCCGCGCTGTGACAGTCCTTGCACGTGCGAGACTGCGAGAGCGCGTTCTTGCGGGTGCACTGGTCCTCGGACTTCCTCTGGCCGCAGCGCGTGCAAGCGAAGAGTTCCGTCACTGGCGCGGTCTCCGACATGGCAAGAAGACAGAAGAGAGAGAGCAGCAGGGAAATGAGGCTAGGAAAGGCTCGAACTGGCTGAGGAGTGCAGCAGCATGGAGCGTGAAGAAGCAACACAAGAGAAGTCTGATGCATGCGGGGAATCTTGCTGCGGCAGAGCTAAATTTTCAGTGGCGCCCACGCGGCGCCCAAGGGCGCCCAGGGCCATCTGCCAGGTCAGTTTTTCGCGTGGCGCCCACGGCGCCCAACGGCGCCCAGCGGCGCCCAAGAGGACAGGCCTCGAGCGGGAGCGTCGGCCAGCCTCCAGCGTCCTGTGTTTCTCGAACGCGTTGCACGCGGCGCCCAGCGGCGCCTAGCGGCGCCCAAGTGCGCCCAGGTGATTCAGAAACCCGAGAACTATAGACCCGAAACCCGGGCTCCTTGAAGCCCTAGACCCTTTAAACCGTGAACCTTGAACCCTAACCGTAAACTGTATGTAAGCGTCAACCGTAAAACCCTTTATCCTCAGCAACCCTATAAACCCTGAGCCCCAAACCCCAAAGCCTCAAGCCTATGAACCCAGTAAGCTAGACCCTGCACCCTAAACCCTAAACCCGAAACCGTACATATAGACCCTAGACCCTGTAAAGCAGCGCCCGACCTATAGCGACTGCAGCCGCCAGCCCCGCGCAGTCGTGCAGCGACTGCAGCCGCCAGACACTTGCCTGCAGTCATGCAGCGACGCAGCACACACACACACACACCTGCATGTTCGGTCGGCAAATGTCCTGTGTCGGCTGCGAGGCTATGGAGACAAATTACGTGCAAGGCCACACATAAGTGCGGAAACTTCAGGCCGGTGAAAGTAACATGCGCTGGACTTGCGAGCGCTTCGATGGAAACGCTGGCGAGTGGCTGCCTGAGTTTCCCGGTGCACAAGGGCCTCACTTACAGCAGGTACCCCCGGCGGCGCCAGCAGGAGTCGCTGCAGTACTGCCTGTGCCGGCACCTGGAACAGCCAGAAGCAAAGGTCTCCTGGACCTCGAGGGGCAGTCCCAACCGCTGCCGGAACTGGGCCTCCTTCTTCGAGCCCGGCTTGGCATTGGCAGGCTTGGTCAGCGCCTGCAGAGCAATGCAGAATCGCAAGCGCAGGACCCTAAACCCGAAACGTAAACCCCAAACCCTAATCAAACCGTAAACCCTAAACCCTCAACCGTAAACCCTAAACCCTAGAAACCCTCAACCCTCAACCCTAAACCCGGCACCCTATCGTAAACCCTACATGCAGAAGTCGACACGTTTCAAGATAGAAGCTTCTGGAGCAAGGGGCGTGCCTTGTGCTTCTTCGCCGTCTTCTTGAGCTGCTTGCTGCCTGGGAGCTTGCTGTTCTTCGTCTTCTTCGAGAGGGGTTCCTGAGCAGGTAGCGACAGGGTCTCCGCCTGAGCTTCCGGACTTGCGTCCGGCGCGGGGGCAGCAGCAGTCTTACGCCGAACTCGGCGAGTGGGCTGCGTCGTCAAAGCAGGCTGCCCTCCCATCTCCACACGCAACTGCTCGGCCGCGGAGATGAGGCCGGAGTCCGGCTTGGGAACCTCCACAGGTGCAGCGAAGTGCAGAGCCTTCTCGAGGGAAGCTGAAGAAACGGTGGAACCGAAAGAAGACGAACGCAAGGAACATGGGGACACTGTGCGCATAGAGTCCGTGCTCTTCCCGTCGGAGGCCTTCTCCGCGGCGACCTCCAACTGCAGAGCCGGCAGCGACGTTGCGCCGGGCGCCCTGTCCTCCAGCTGCGGGACAGCAGCAGGCGCGGGGAGGGACTGCTTCTTGGGAAAGAGGAGCTGCAAGCCAGGAAGTGTCTCCTCATCCTCCTGCGCCAGGCGAAGCTGTGACAGCAGCATGCGCAGCAAGTTCTTTGTACAGCCCTCCTGGCCCTGAAGCTTCTTCTCGTCGACCAAGTTCTTGTTGTTCTTGCGCATCGGCACGCTCGCTGTCAGCGCGCGCAGTGTCTGCAAGGGAACCGGCGAGGCTGCCTGCGGCAGCGCGCCCTGAAAAGCTTCACGACAC